CTCGCGAAGCTCGGGCAGCTTCGGGCTCCGCGAGGCGGTTATCGAGCCCTCAGCTAAGACTTTAGGGTTTTTTAAGTTTGGGGTTCAGGGCTCAGGGTTGAGGGTAAGTAATTCTGTGTTGTGAGTAACTCTGAGAATTTGGAGGGATCTGAGGGCTTGTGCAGGGGACCTCACCCCAGTTTGAGAAATGCCCATGCGTTTTGGGGTTGAGGGTGTTGTGTTATCCTAACAGGTCCTAACAGGCCTATTCATTCCTTTCCAGGTGCTTCTGACAAGTCCGCCATGTTAATGTTACTATAGCTTCTGCACGTCAGCATTTCTCAGGCATCTCTGTAACGCTTGCAAAAGATCCTTTGGGTCCTTGTTCCCTGCCTCTGCGGGCATCACTCCAAGGTGAGCATCACGGACATCTTGTTCGCAATCATTCCACTGCTGCTCTACTTCAGTCTGATGTTTGCCCTCTCCTGGGTGGTTTCGCGCCTCATGCGTCTGAGCTTTGCAGAGACGGTAACCTTGGCCTTCACGGGCGCCAGCAACAACTTTGAGCTTGCGCTGGCCTCCTGCACAGCAATCTTCGGCACCAGCTCCAACCAGGCCATTGCCACTGTCCTGGGCCCACTCATCGAGATCCCCGTGATGCTGCTTATGGTGAAGGTCTCCGGGTATCTCCGCTACGAACAACAGAAGGAGCTCGACGACTCTGGCAACTCTAGCTCCATCGAAGCCAGCGACGACAGCAGCGTGGGCAGCTGAAATCAATTAGAAGCGGCCGCTGTCCCGCGTGGTTTAAATCAATTCGCAGTGTACAGGAGGGTCATTCTGACACCCAAAACTCCGTGGCCATGGCACGCCTGTCATAAGCGTAGGCTGCCTGGTGAAGAGGACCCTCTGCCAAGGCAAGAGGCAATGGCAGATGGAACAGGCGGCGAGCACCATCTGCAGGGAGTTTAGTGTGCAGAGTCGGAAGCTTACAGGTTTTGATATTCAAAAAATGGTATGTATATATATAAGGTTATACAAGGATAATGGAAAAGCAAATGGAAACAAGCATATAGTTTTTTGGGAGGCATTAGCCCACAACACTCAAGCAGGCTCAGTTGCTCTCGAGGCCTGGCGGGGCTCTTGCTTCCCCAGAGAGCTTCACACCGCCACGGACGCTTCCTGGGGATTCCCTTAGCCTGGAAGAGACCCCGAGGACGGAGTGAGAAGTGAGAGCATTCAATATTGGGACTATTTGAGTATATATAGGGGTTATATAGAGATAATGGAAAAGAAAATGGAAAGTACAGGGATGATAGGGAATTCTTTCAATTGATTTTTGCCACAAGGATAGTGTCTTTCCACCCACGCTTTGAACTGTGTGGTGCTCTTGCTTTCTGCTAAAATTTGTCCGAGATTTCTGTCCTCAGCCCGTTCTGTTGGCTGCCTTTCTTTTCTCTTCTTCAGTAGGGTGAGCATGCGAACATGTGAAGCGAGAAAAGAAATTGGGCTTACTTCATGGATGGTGATGTGATTGCTGCATTCTCTCCAGGTTGAAACTCAGTTGGCAGCGTAGTTGGTTCTTCCTGAATAGTTGAGCCGACAATGACTGGGGATACACTTTTTGTACCATGCGGCGTATGTGAATGAGAACGAGATCGCCCGGGCAAAACAATGAATGCTGGAATGCGAACAGGCCTGTTGACAATCCAAAGGAGACGGGACTTTATCAGCACATTGCGTCTTAACATGAATCAACACGAGAGATGTCTTGGGATAGTTTATGTCTTGCATGCCGGAATTTCAAGGACTGTGCAGGACAAACCACGCAATCATGTAGGATGCTTGTTTCTGTGGACCTTCATGATGGTTTTCTTGCTTTTTGCTTGCAGGACCTCTGGCCTGATTTCCGTCGCAGGATCCCCGCAGCTGCTTCCTCAGCCATACAACTTTGAGGGCTGGTTGGTGGTGGGATGTACAATGATAAGCATGTCCTTCAGCATGTATCATGGACCCTGCTGTGGCATCCCTTGACTGACACCTCCTCCGGGGCATGTTCAGCAGCCCAGCAGCCCAAATGTATCCCATCAGATGCGCTGGCTAAACTGGCTAAGGGTGGAGATCGCAGGACCGGCTGTTTATTCCAGAGGCTGTTGCTGGAACGGGCTTTTTGTTTGGGTTTTCTTGTCAATTCAATGATCGTGTATGAGAGCAACATTTGGCAGTAAGCAACATGGCAAGGCTGCAATACCAGCATGTGTCACCTGTGGTCACCATGGAGTGAAGATGTACAGCTTATGAGTTTGTTTTTGTAGCTGTGCGTGTGTGTTTCCCGACCGTATCCTCACACTCAGGCTCAAAGCTTCGGCAAAAGAATTCTGTCCAACACTTTTGGAGCTTTAGACCTGCTTCAAGTGCAGGAATGGAGGTGGTCCGCGAACACGAGGCCTTTCCAGAATTCATTTTTTTTTTGCACGTGCAGCGTGCCAGAAAAAAAGCCAGCTGGGATGTGCTGGCAGCTGCTTTCACCCGCATCTGCTCTTATAGTACCAGCATTCATGTACTTCGTGGCTTCCATTTGTCTGGCAACTAAAACAGCCTCTGACCATGGTGGCTTAGTCTTTAGCATTGTTGTTCTTCTGCACATCATGGATGGTTGCACAATCGCTGTACTTGAGCGAGCCCGTTTCATGCGTGATTTCGCTTTTTTATTTGCTGTGATCAAAGAAATTCTCACCATAGCTTGGCTGTCAGGGCTTTATGGTTATGACGAACAGCATCACTGCGCCACGTACGAGAGTGAGTTGCTGGTCAAGAATGCTGATATGATATGTGCTTGTGTTACGAACATTTGATGGCTCCAGCTCTGTCACCTTATTCGAGCCCTGTGTGGGCCTTCCGCCATATCCGACATCGGACCTTTGCCGCAGGGCTTCGTTTCTCAGCTGATGAATGCACACGGGGGTCGAGGGTTTTCAGGGATCGGATGAAGAGAGACAGGGAGTGCCTGGTGTGCTCTACGGACTGCCAGCAGGGTTTCCGGGCCTTCCACAAGATGGTTGTGTTGCTAAGTCGTCTATCAAGATGCTGATGGCTGTTGCTGCTACCCCAGCATATTACATTCCTGTCATGGAGACTTGCAAGAAGGGCTCAAATCTTCAGAGTCCTCACCAAGGTGTTTCCAGGACCCACTCACTACGACAGACAGCAAGATAACAATGCACATGTGGATCACACTGCTTCTGGTGCTGGTATGGCCAGGAAGATGCTCGGCTACAATCCAACCCTTGCCCATACCCTGTTAGTTACTGTTGGTCTTCCAGGTAGTTTCATCATTCCAACCTCTTTGTTTTTGCAGGCGCTGGCATTATTCTGATTGTCATGTACGCCATCAGTGTTTTTAGTTTGCAATTCTAAGTGTGATCCGTTCTTAGCATGCTTCTGGTCATTTATGCCCTTCTGCAAGGTAGCGAGAGCTCCGCAGTCTCTGAGACATCGAAGACCTCTGCGCTGATACAAACAGGAGAAACGTGGTTGAAGCGTTTGGCTGAACTATGATAGCATGCAAAAGTCATGCAATGTTATCTGCGGATGAAGTGATGTCAGAGGATTAAGACCATCATGTTCGTCGTTCTTCAAACATTTCCCACAGATGCAAGCTGGCCACCAGTGAATGGGCAGAAGTAGGATTCTAGAGAAGCACAGAGGGAGCATCCACAGACAGCCTCCGCTTAAGACATTTTGGTCCATGGGCTGTCAGGATGGTAGTTTCCATTTCCTTTTCTACTATCCCCATATAACACCCATAAAACCCTATATACCCCTGTATAACCCCTGTATACCCCTTTGTTTTTACTTTCTTTTCCATTGCTTCATTCCAGGAAACTTGCCAGGCTAGAGCTGACTACTTCCAGAATATTTGGTAGTTTTCCAAAAATAGGGGGACCCCAATATAGTATACTAAGGATTTAAAAGTCTGGAGGCTGTATTCAATATAGCCCCCAAAACTTTCAAATCCTTAGTATGGGGACCTGCACAAGGGTACCCACTGAATTTTGGGACACCCCCATTTGAGTTCCTGAAGCTTTATTACATGAATCCACAAGGAGGGAGCAGTTGGTTAGCTGGGAAGGAGGAATGGAAAAGAAAATGGAAACTACCATTTCTGGTTATATAGGGACTACTACAAGGATCCATTCCTTCATTCCTAGCTAAGCAAAGGCCAGCTTCTTGAGCGAGAGGACATGTGGTGCCACTCCACGCGAAGTTTGTGGACGGTGGCCAGTTGGAAGGCAGGAGGATGCACTTTAAGGTGGGTTTTCCAGATGTCGGCATGGAAGTAGCAAAACCAATGGGGGATAAGACGGAAAAGAACGGGGCTCAACGAACGTTTCTGGAGGCCTTTCACGTTTCCCCTAAACCCTAAACCCTCAACCCTAACCTTAAACTTGTGTCTTAATGTTGGAATCAGACCTGAACTGTCCCGGGTGCAGGCAGCGAGGAGTCGGAATCCTTCCTGCTGAGTGAAGCAGGCAAGATTCACATTATAGTTCTGTCTTGGGTATGCTTTGAGACGACATGTGAGCCATAGTCTAAACTCCTTCAAGGGGGTTATAAAGGGGATTATATAGGGTACTATCATAGGGGTTGTCAAGGGGGATACTAGGAGTTTAGATTATAGCTCACGTAGGATTCCAGCCGTCTCCAGTCTGCAGCACCCTCAACGTGGAGCATCTCAAGCACGTCACGAGACGCAGGTGCAAGTCCGGACGACGAGGTGGAGCAGTGCTCGCTGGCTGACAAGGCCGTGGCAACACAACGCATGTGTACTGGGGGCTAGTAGGGAATGAGGAAATATTTGTAGGGACTTTAGGGATTATATTCCCCTATTCCCTACTAAGCCCCAGTAGGCAGTGACTTGTTTCTCATTGAAAGGACTGTGCGATGACTTTTGAAGACAAGCTGGCTCCTGCTGCTTGATTTTGTTGGTTACATTGTCCAGACATCCAAGGACGTGGCAGAATCATAACGACCTCACCCCAAAGGGTGGCCTACATAGAAATGATCGTGAACTGGCTTTGTTTCGGGCCCTTGTAGTTGGTGAAATGGCGCCAGAAGAGCAGGCCAGCCTTTCTTTACGTCTCCCTTTCATCAGACATTGTTTAAGGTTGTGAAGATAGTGTTCTTGCCGAGGATGTCAGCGGAAAGGAAGAGCCTTGTGAGAGCCGCTTCTCTGCGCAGGTCTTAGCATGTTCCTTCTCTGAAGGATCGTGCGCCCCTGGCGCACATGTGAGCACTGAGGTGGATGCATTCTTGGATGTCCCAGCGCTGGTTGTGGCTTTCCTTACTGTTCTGCTTCTCTCCGTTCGGTTTCGCTCCACGAAGTTGGGAGACAAGGCCCCAAGAATGCCAAAACCCTTGTTTCTGAGATCTTCCGGTTGAAGGGTTCGGGTACTCGGCTAGGCTGCAGATGAACCTCCGCCAGCTTCGGCATCTGACGAGCGGGACCTTGACGTGGACGAGTTCGGCTGCACTGCGCTGCATCGTGCAGCTGACGAGGGTAGTGCCAAGGAGGCGGGCGGGGCAGATTCAAAGAATTTCGCAGCGCAGGAGTGTGCAGGGACTGTTCAAGGGTTTCAGGGGAGGCTGGTGGACAGCCGTGCTGCAGAAGTCAGGGCCTTCGCCGTGAAATGGGAGTTTCTCAAGATACAAGCTGATTATTCAGTCCTTGAGGGGATCCCGTAACCTCTTCGTATTTCCTACATATCGCTAGGGCTCAAGGGTCACCCGGTCACCCTCCCCCCAACTTAGAGAAGCGCCCAAATGAACCCATGAAGGTGGAAAGGCTTCTGGGTCGTGGTCTCGACATCGAGGCACGAGAGGCCCGTGCGCTGAGCTTTATCTCAAGGGGCCTATGGGGGATTCTTGTTGAAGATGATTGTCGTCAGGAAGTTCACCATAGATCCATGTAGGTCCGTTGTTTTTGCCATCATATGGGATGGGGCGTTCTTGGGTCCCAAACCTTGAACCGCAAACCCCAAACCTTGGATCCCTAACCCCGAAACCCCTAAGCCTCAAGTCCGGAACCGAACCCTGTATATTCCTATAAACCCCCATAGTTTCCATGTTATCTTCCATTGGATTTTCCAGTATAATAGTTCATGTATCCCCAAACCCTGAATCCAACGCTGAACTCTATAGATCAGGGCTTAGGGACTACCCCAATGTTGGACAATCGAATGCAAAAGAACATGGAAGACTAAATGGAAACTGGGAATGGGTCTAGGGTTTTGGGATAATGGAAAGGAAAAGCATGAAAACCACTCCAATATTGGGGGTTTTTGGCCTGGGGACTGCTATAAGTTATAGTAGTCCTTATACTCCCCCCAAAATGTAGTAATGATTAGGTATTTCTACAAGTTATAGTACTCCCAATATAATGCATCCCACCTCATAGTCTAGCAATAATCACGGGCTGCTGTAAGGCTAGTGGTTTATAGGCTCGGAAGCTGCAGGCCTGGGAAGAGACCCCACTCCACATCGCTGCCCGGAAAGGCCCTGAAGGGTTGGGGAGATCCCGAAAGAAGGGGCCTAGGGAAGTATGTAAGGGTATGTTGGGATTATGATTGGCTTACGGAAAGTATATGTGAGGGTATGTAGGGGTTAGAAGGGGCTTAGGGAACATGTGCAGGGGTATGCTGCTCGAAGTCCTTTTATTTCTGAAGATTGCAATACCACCTGGTATGACCAAAGCAAACGCAGCATGGTACGAGAGGAAATCGGGGCACTGGATACCATCACCATTGTCATTGGTTTATTGTCACTCTTCTTCTCCTTTGTAATCATTCATTGCTTTGAGTATTAGCGATAGTATTAGTCTTATGGACCTGAGCTCACAAATGGGGCCCCTAAGTTTGAGAAAGCTCCTAGTACTGCTGGAGGACGTCCTTCACTACGTAGGGACCCTAAAGCGATTCTAGCGCCTGGCATAGATGGTAGAAAATTTTAAATCCAGGGTTTAGGGTATCCAAGCCAAGCAATGGGATCGGAATGGTATTATTGTCGTTCCCTAACCCTACACCCCGTACAGAAAAGGTCAGCATGCCTAACAAATGACATTATTATTGATAATACTACTATCAACATTAACATTCGTCCTAGTACCAATCACAATAGACAATGAACATAAGAATACTAGCAACAACGAGCCAACCAGGCTATGCAGACTGTGTGACTTGCCTGCTGGCAGCTGGTGCCAACTCTGAGGACGGCATGGGAATGTCTTTTTAGATGTGTAGAGAGAAGGGGGCTTTCCCGGGAAAGTATATACAAGGGATTATCCCTCAAAGGTACACCCTCCAGATTTAGAACCCTATTAGGCCTCATTAAGCCCTATATAGTCCTTATTAGCTCCTTAAATCCTGGGGGGTACCTTTCCTAACCCCTAAACCCTAAACCCGAAATCCTAAACCCACCCTAAATCCTAACCCCTAAACTATTGTAATCCCTTACTTTGGGGGGAATATTGTTGTAATCCCTTACTCTTGGGCCCTGAGGCTGTTGTCTGATACTGCAAGCCAAGCAGGTTTAGGGTTTAGGGTTTAGGGTTTGGGGTTTAGGGTTCAGGGAAGTCAGCCTACTAAACCCTGATCATCACATTGGAGCCGCGTGAGTGTTATCTCAGGGTGCCCCTCAAAGGGTTTAGGGCGTAGGGTATGGGCGTGTCCCTAAACCAAGTACCCTACGTCTCTTTGAAAGAGTTTACGTACATGAGACACAATCTAAACTCCTAGTATCCCCTCAACATCCCCTGTAGTGGTCCCTGATATAACCCCTTATATAGCCCCCTTTTAGAAATTTAGATTATGGATCACATGGCAGTATGATGCCATCGTTACCCTGGAGGACATAAGGCAAGATTACACTAGGTTGCCCTATCACCATAAGGTCCTATAAACAGGTTTGGGCCCTATATATGGGAGTTCGATGCCTTAGCCCTAGACTTCAAACGGTATCTCCCTGTCCCAGGCCCCAAATCTCGAAAATTCACATCTAAACCCAACACCTCAAAGCCTACTATTGTGCTGACTGACTTCTAGCAAAAGACGGGGTTGCCGCTAAGACTCCAAACTCACTTAAACATCGTCTCACTTCCTGTACCAATCTACGGACAGTCCCTTGTAGCCAAGGGCTCTTGCCCCATCAAGTTATCATAGTTATCATCTAAAACAGGTAGTTCCTAGTTGTCTTCATATGTACAAGACGGAAAAAAATTGCCAAATGTCCCAAGCAGACTCCACAGAGCCCTTAAAAGCTAAGCCCCAAAATGCTAGCTCAACTTAAGAACTTTTCCAAGGGTCCAAATACCCCCCAAGTAGCATGGTTTCAGGGCGACAATTACTGCGATCTACAGGGTGCTTTGGTACATACGCCTGGTAGTTAGTATTTAGGTAGGCTTCCTTCATGTTACCCTGAAACTCAAAGCCCAAACAGCGTGAAGGGGAGACAGAGGGGTGACTTTCACAATCCCTATGCAATTCCCCGTACTTACCCCTATAACAAATTTGTATCTGCTACTCCTTCGCTGAAGTGGTCGTCCATGGACAGGACTTGCCCAGCCTGCGTTGGGGCAGATACTTGGAGGCTCATGGGTAGTTTCTTCTGTAGGTTATACACATAATGTATGTATATATATATAAAATGTATACACCCCTATTTAGGTTGTGCGGTTTAGGGTTTTGGCTGTGTGTACGAAGACATGGACAAAGTTGGAAGTTTACTTGGAGTTTCTCGCGTGAATACGAGTAGGGCTGAAATGGACTTACGAGTAGACTTGGAGTAGCTAAGACCTGACTTACCTACCTTGCAGGCCCTAACCCCTGAACCCTAAACCCATAAAACCTAATCCGCCGAAACCCCAAACCCCTAAACCCTCAAAACCTAAAACCCTAAAATCCTAAACCACTAAAATCCAAAAATCCTAAACCCCTAAAATCCTAAGCCCCTAAAAGCCTACATCCTAAACCCTAAGAGCCTGACATCCCGGCAAGCCGTAACAGAAGAAGCCCATCCCAATTGCGAACCATAGTAGTAAGTTTAGGGTGTAGGGTTTTAGGGTTTAGGGTTGTAGGGTTTTAGGGTTTAGGGTTGTAGGGTTTTAGGGTTTAGGGTTGTAGGGTTAAGGTTCACACAAATCAAAGGACATGGGTTCCTTATGAGGAACTGTATTACATACTACGCTAGACTGCAAGAGGGAAATCTATGTTCACTATTATGGGTTCCTTAATACAGCGGATATTGAGAGTAACACACATGGGAGTTTCCAAACGCTATGGATTCCTTTTTGTTGTTAGAGTCCGCATGATATGGACTAGCGAATTTCAAAAGAGCCCCCTACATGAAAGGATTGGATTCAGGGGCTAGGATTTGAGGCACGGCCTAAATTCCCAGTGTGGGCCTTGTACATTGGATTTTGGTGAGTGGCCTATCGTTTTCCAAGTTTTGGTTGTGGGCCGGTTTCTCTCTTTGGTAGTACAACTTTAATACTGGAAGGGCCATCTCCGGCAACCAGATGGATTTTCGTTCTCTGGTAGTACAACTTTAGTACTGGAACGGGCGTCTCCGGCAACCTAATGGATTGTCGTTCTCTGGTAGTACAACTTTAGTACTGGAAGGGCCGTCTCCGGCAACTTGATGGATTTTCCTTCTCTGGTAGTACAACTTTAGTACTGGAACGGCCGTCTCCGGCAATCAGATGGATTTTCTTTCGTTCTCTGGTAGTACAACTTTAGTACTGGAAGGGCCGTCTCCGGCAA